TTGACCTCCAAGGTGGTGCCGGTGGGAGATTCCTTCTGTGCGTTGTTGAAGAATAACAAATAGTGCTCAATGTACATGCCAATGGCTGCTAATGGGGAATGAGAGACAGGCGCATTCGCCTTTTAGTTAACGCGCACGCTGCGATCCCCATTAGCAGCCATTGGCATGTACATTGAGCACTATCTGACAAGAAAGGGCTGCTGCGTTATACTCGCTGGGTGTAACCTCCTTAGTTTTAGAAAGGTTTAGCGAGCGTTGACCCGCAGTGCCATGAACACGATCAACTAGTATATACCACGAACTCGAGGTGGTTAAAGGTGGGAAGTAGACCCGAAGCGCAAGCCGTAAGAAAGTGTGCTGTGCCACCTCTCGTTTAGTCATTGGAATGTCCGCTGGATGGCGGTGCTTCTATATGGGGAATATATGATGAAAAGATGCGAGATGGTGGTACTTGGAGTGCTGAATAGGTGGGCGAACGGACACACAGATAGATGCATGGATGGACGCATGAACGGACGCAGGGGCGGATGCATGGACGAACGCAGGGACGGACGCACGAACAGACGCACGCGCGGACGGGCGGATGGACGCATGGACGGACACACAGACGGACGCATGGACGGTCACACAGACGGACGCATGGACGGACGGAAGCAAGAACGAATGGATGGACGAATGCTTCGCCCCACTCTCCATCATTCACTCCGTGGATATACTGCCAATTTTTTTTGAGTAAATGTATTGATGCCTCCCCGCCACCCACTGAACGTTTCCGCACTTATCGTCATTTAGCCCTGCCTGCTGATCTTCAGGTCTGAACCATAACCGCTTCTCAGCCGCGGCGGACGTTTTGGAAGGTAAAATCGGCACCGAATAAATTTTCAAAGACGAAAGTCATTGTTAGATACTTGGACACAAAATTATGCACCGTCTCTCCGAAGGGAACCATGATGGGATTCGAAGCAGTAGTGGTACGCACGCCATTGACCCGCCTGAAACGGGCGTCGACGTGGGTGTTGTAAGGACGGTTTGAAGCGAAACTCGGTGTAGCGTTTACTCGAGTAGACGTTTCTTTGAAACGCAAAAACACTGGAAGCGGGTTGGGTTTTGTGTGAGTTTCATCGCAGATAAACCAGCCGAAAGAGTGTTTCCACTTGACGTGTGGTCGAGTGTTGCGGGCGGTGGAGGGGGTGAAGCGAGTGGGAAGTGTGTTGCGAGCGTGCAGAGGAACAACACCACCTAGGTTTTGTTCCTAACACACCTAGGTGTGTTGGAAAGAGCTGTTAGCTGTTCCGGATGAGGGACAGAGTGACGTCAGCGCGCAGTTGCTACTTGACCTATACTTGGCATCGTTCCAACTGCGGCAGGGAGAACGCGGCGCGGCGCGTTCGCATGGAGACATGGACGGACAGCGTTACATAGGCTAGTCAAAAAGCTACTCCGCATCTAAAAATTTTGGTCTGTCTGTCTGTCTGTCTGTCTGTCTGTCTGTCTGTCGGTCCCTCTGTTCGTCCGTCCGTCCGTCTGTCTGTCCCTCTGTTCGTCCGTCCGTCCGTCTGTCCCTCTGTCTGTCTGTCTGTCTGTCTGTCTGTCTGTCTGTCTGTCTGTCTGTCTGTCTGTCTGTCTGTCTGTCTGTCTGTCTGTCTGTCTGTCTGTCTGTCTGTCTGTCTGTCATGAAACAATTCTGCCACCCGGCCAAAGTTCAAGCACTTCTTCAACGCATGGTTATCTTCAATTGGTGGCTGCGTTCATATACTTGTGAAAGGGTCGATCAAAAAGCAAATATGCCACACATCTGAGGAGCAAAATCACTAAGTAATTACTTGAGGCCATGTTTATTTCGTGAAAGATAAATAGGTCCTGTAAAAGAACGAGACTGAGACACAGCACCCGTTCACCAAGCCGGCTGTTCTTTATCAGACCTCGTTCTCTTCATCTTCTCGTGCTGGTTGCACACGAGGCCCCAAGGTCCGCTGTTGCTGATCATCATCACATTCGGCCATGACTGTGTTTGAGCGAAGCCGCCTACTGGCGCCGTGCAGTCGAGTTTTCCAGTGTGACTGCATTGCCAGACCGCAATGCCTTGCGGAGAAAAAAAAACGCAATAATAGGTCGGGGTCAGTCAAAATGGAACGCGACGCCCGCGCCTCCCCGTGAGTGGGCGGATTGCAGCAGAAATACACGGCGACGCGTACGCACGTCTGTTTTTTTTTGCGTGCCCTTAACGACCAACGTCAGTTAACCTAGGATGGACTAGCGCCAGCAACGCAGCTCCCTCTGCTCAGCGGACGGTGCCTACAGAGTCTCTGGTGGCTGATGTTGGGGGGGGGGGGGGGGGTCGCTGTGGTTGGTAGATAAAACGCTTAAACGCTGGGCCTTGGCTAGGTGCTTTGCATGTAGAGCCTCAGGTGGACGGTACTGACTGCATCGCTGCACTTCTGTTCATTGATCTGCCAGAACTAGATCTGGAGGACGATACTGGCTGCATCGCTGTGGCCGATCTCGCCCACGCAGTAACTTGGGTTGACGACGTACCAAACATAATTCTGGTGGACGGCATTCAATATGCCGTGGTGGTCAATGTTTTATTCGCCGCGTCTCGTCCTGCCGAGCATTCTGGTGGCTGTCAGAGAGATGGTTTAACCGTTGTATGAGGAGTCGTGGATGTGGATACACGGCTTCGGAAGTCATCAATAAAGCCACCAGCACACATGGGCTGTACTAACAGACCTCTTGCGCCCAGCGGAAAGTGACCATCTTCTGCTATAGGCTCGTTCGGCTTCTGGACAGCACGTGTGTCAATCATTAGAGAAGGCGGCCTCTCCACATATTCAAGTGACGATGAGCCTGGGGTCGAAGTCATCGACGTCTGTTGCTCAGAAGCAGTCTTGGTCTCTGTCAAGTAATGTTGTGAGTTTCATCCAGACGCATCTGGATCTTGAAGCTCTCCTTGGAAATTGTGTCGGTGTCTATGTCGGTGTCTGTTGCTGGACGTTCCGCAAAGCCTCCTGCGAAAGAGCTGCAAGACACAGCTCTACCATCTGGCGGCCGCTTTTTAGGAGATCGAAGTCCATGGGTAGGGACGTTTGTGAAAGGCACAGCTGACTGTTCCCTTGCTTTCTGCCACCGAATGAGGACCGGATCGTAAGGGCCGGATCGAGCTGCACCGTCGCGGTTGTGCGTGTCAGAGCTCCTAAGAGCGGCACGCATTGGGTCGGTCGGCAAGGAGCTGCTGGCATGTGACAGCGGCCGAAAAACAGTGATCAATCGGGCACACCATTCAGGCCAGGATTGTGTTTTGCCCCTTCGTAGCCGTGCCATGCCATCGGAGCACCGCGAAGGCGCTCGATGGCAATCGCCCATTTCCCATATTCCGGCTGGGCATGGGGGGTGCCGAGTAAGTCCCCAGTCGCAATTCGCCCAAAGACGTCATCCTGAATGCCGCGAAACAATGGTAGTTCACAGGGAGCCAGCGATGGCGGGATTGCGGATGAAAATCCGGAACAAGCCCACGCCAAGCAGCCCAATTGTTCTGATCTGCTGCTATGGGCTCGTTCGGCTTCTAAACAACACGCGTGTCAATCATTAGAGGAGGCGGCCTCTCCACGTATTCAAGTGACGGTGACCCTGGGGTCAAAGTCATCGACTTCTGTTGCTCATAAGTGGTCTTGGTCTCTGTAAAGTAATGTGAGTTTAATCCAGACGCATCTGGATCTTGAAGCTCTCCTTAGAAATTGTGTTGGTGTCTATGTCGGTGTCTGTTGACCGTGAGTGAACACAGGAGCACACGATGGTTATCAGGTGAGCTGGCCTCAAGATCTCGTGAAACGGCAACAGCTAACATGACATCGATTACGCTCAATGTTAGCAAGGTGGCCTGGAGACAGCTGAGAACTCGACGCTACCAAGGCGTTATTTGTGACACGGAGTTGCGCGACGGTATGCTGCAGCTCGGTGGCGCTGTCGGCTGATCCGCATCTAGAGCCAGGGCCGGCATCTGCAGAGAACACTGGCAGCGGCTCTATTACTCACACTGGCACAACCCATAGCCAAGGACGTGTGCACAGCGTCCTTGGGAGGATGATGTGATGGCAAAGTCTAGTTCACGGAATCTACGCAGACGGGAGCATCAGAAGCGTTCCCAGACGACAAAACACGTGCGATGTCTTGGCGTAGAACTGGTGTCGCGGCGCCAATGAAAGAAAGTTGAGCCACCGAAGAGGCCTCGACGCCGTCCCCGAACTGTGCTGGGTGCGGTGGTTGGTAGACGGGTTCCACGGCCGAAGCAGCGTCGACGGCTTTCCTTATATGACGGCTCTAGAACGATGAGGACGCACGAGTACAGATGGTGCCCGCTTTGGGGCATAGTTTTAGGTGATGCCTTCGCGGCAAGCTACGTGGAACACCCCGTAACAGACTCCGACAGCTTGATTCTAAAGAGCATAGTGTTGTTTTTCTTTGCAGGCTGCGCTGAAAATGAAATGACATGCACGAAACAAGGCCAGTAAAAGAATCGCAACAGAATCGAAAGTTGGGCTAGTTCTGGGTCTCTCTTCATGTCTGTTTTTCGTGCGCTTTAATTGATAGTTATACCAGCAAAAGAATATCGTCTTTGAACTATATTTGCAGCAAAACACGCAGATGCGCGGCCATTTTTTTTTTCAGAGTCGATGTACTGGTGCTGCCCCGCCACCCATCGAAAGCTCTCCGCACAAGTCATGGAATTATACTGTCTCCCATGACCTTCACGTATGCAGCCGAGTCCCATAACCACAGCTACCCAGGGGAAGACGTTTCGAAACGTAAAACCAGTGCCGCATAATTTTTTTCTCCTCAAACATTTATTCTTACTTAGAGTTTAAGCCTCTTACTCTCCCTCTTGTTGAAATTTATTGCACTGGTGGTTAGTGCACAGAAATTTGCAAAGCCCGAGTGGTCCTTACGTAAGCAATATACGCTATATCAATAGAAAAGCAAAAAAAAACAAGAAAAACAATTACCTTTCCTGCGATGATGTTTCGAACGACGACTCTCAGACGATCGTTTTACAAGGAGGAAGCGAGGGCACCCCCGTATGCCTTCGTTAGAAACACGTTTCCCTTTCAAACTAGGCGTTGCACTTGCAATGAATTTGTTTTCCTTGTTCTCTCTGATTCAATTGTATAGTTTAAAGCTATAGAGTAAAGCTGAATAAATAAAAAAACACATAAACTCTGAAGGCGAGCAGTCTTTGTTGAACACTATGCGCACATCATGCCACGAGAAGATGTACGTGGCTTTCGCTAACACTTGTTTGACCAGTTTTCTTCGTGCTCTTTTTTTGACAACTGCATTATGAGTGGCTGAATAGAGAGTTTTAGTACTGCGGAATGGTGCTACGTACGCATCACGCAAGCGCCTTGCGTTACGTGGCGTCGTTTGCCAGTAATCGGCTTTTAGTACGCCGTAGTACCCGCGTACGTAACAAGCGTGAAGCATGTTGCGCCATCTGGTAGATCAAAATAGAAGCACGTGTTGTTGGCAGCCAATGTGAGCCAATCCAAGTGTTATAGCCAAATTATGGCCATATTTTAAGCCACAGAGCCGGTCGGTGCTTGCCCTCGATGCCGCCATTTTGCAAAACGAAGTCTCGCGCTGTCGCGAACTTGTTCGAGAGCGGCGCGATCCCCTCATACGTACGCACGCACGCATCTCATGCGTGCGTACGTAACGGCTGCGTACGCAACGCGATACGTGCGCGTTGCGGTCTACGCATGCGCACTACGCAGAACGTGGCGTCCTTACGTACGCAACGCCGCCACGTACGCAGCGTACGCAGTACTAAAACTCTCTAATATCTTGGAATGACCCGCGTTCTTCAAAGGCATAAACGCAGTCTTGCTGTGGAACCGTTATTACAACTCGGGGCATGCATAACAGCCCGACCAAGCCAAGACGAGATTTATTCGAATTGAATATTCTTCTTTTGTGGCTTATTGGTTTTCTCGGTTGGGGTAATGTTATCTTCACTCACCTCGCTTGAATCCCCATCTCTAAAGAGAGACATGAACGTCTATATAAAGTGTCAAAACGAATTTATTTCATTGCCCTACGTTACATGCCGAATGTGTACAACTGCGCCCCAAGAGTCCGGCAGCCTCCCGAGCCGAATAAAAGCAACAACGGCGAGCCGAGAAAGCGGTGTTGCTGCCAGAGCAGCGTCAACGTGGCAGTGTCGGGAACGCGTCGCCGACTCCAACGCCCGCTTTCGGCGGTAGTTTCTCGAGCGGTCTTTGGTTTCTGCTGCGACGTGTGCAATCGCCTGTGGCCACGCGTTTCAGCTTCGCGGGTCGCCTTTAATACAGGCGTTCTTGTATTTCTGCCCTCATCACACGTGACCGGCGTGGCAGGGAGATGAATCATACTCTTCGGGTTCAGGGGCGCTGCATCTCAGTTCCTTAACTATAACTATATAAATGTGACTATATAAATGGTAGGTGTAACCTTAAGAGACAAGAAGAGAGCCGAGTGGATTAGGTAACAAACGGGGGTTAAGGATATCATAGTTGAAATAAAGAAGAGGAAATGGACATGGGCAAGGCATGTAGCGCGTAGACAGGATAACCGCTGGTCATTAAGGGGACCTAACTGGATTCCCAGAGAAGGCAAGCGGGTTAGGGGGAGACAGAAGGTTAGGTGGGCAGATGAAATTAAGAAGTTTGCGGGTATAAATTGGCAGCAGCAAGCACAGGACCGGATTAACTGGCGGAACATGGGAGAGGCATTTGTCCTGCAGTGGACGTAGTCAGGTTGATGATGATGATGATGATAATGATAATGATAATGATGATATAAATGTGAATAAACTACTTTTCATTTTTCGCACCACCCATAGGCATTCGCAGGGTTCCCCTTCGGGGGGGTGGGGGTGAAGGTACGTCGCAGCGCCCCCCTTCATATTACTTAAGTAGTTGAGACTGACTCCCCGCCCCTCCCCCCCCCCCCGAGTAACAGCGCCACACCTACCTATATTATGTGAATGCGTAGGGCTGACTTTGCGCCCCCCTTTTAAATTATCAGTGGGGGCGCCTCCCCCCTGGCCTCCTCGTGAGCAAGCCTATCGCACGACCAGTCCCGCATACCCTGTCTCATATTACGAAACACAAGAAAAAACCACGAAAAGCCACCAGCTGGCCCAATTCATGGCTGTGCTGAACTATGGTATAACCACAGCACATCTCAACCGAATATTCTAAAGAGTATAAGTCCCAGAGACTCCGACGTGCGAGTCTATGGTGAGTGCAGGGGTAGACACATTTGGCAGAAATCTGTCTGGATGGGTGGACTTTTATGATAAAAAAAACTCTCTAGCCACTCTCAGCCTTTAGTTTCTTAATTAGTAAAACTGGCCCGGTGTTTCGCGATCCGTTTGGTCTCTTTTTTTTTAAGGGGTGATTGTAACATTATTAATTTCTGGAGTTGAACGTCCCAACACCGCGATATGATTGTGAGCGACACGGTATTGGAGGGTCCACTGACACAGCACAGTACACGAGCCTCAACCATTTTGTTTCCATCGAAATGCGACCACCACAGCCGGAATCGAACCCGCGACCTTTCGGCCAGCAGCTGAGCACCTCAGCCATTGTTTTATCGAGTCGAAAGGGGGATCTGTACAGCTGGCTCCGAGGCTAGCGCTCTTTAGTGGCTGTCTCCCCCTGGACTTGGCCAGGGAGTCATTTTATTCTTATGCAGTCCGGGCGCGCCGATGAATTTGGTACGTTCTAAAATTAACACATCACGTATCCCACTCGCGCCCTGATTCTCAAATTTACGACCATCAAGAACGCATTACAATATCAGCCACGTGACCTGCTGTGGATGCATCTCGTTACGACTTAATACGTCCCCGCACAGATGTTGCGCTTGATCTGACAAAAGCCCAAGTGCGCTATAAAAAAATCTCCTAAGGCGCCATGTTGGCGAGCGCAAAACAAAACGAAAACCCTCGCGAACAGCTGTCAGATGCGCGTAACGCTTTTTTTTGTACATTTCTGCAATATGCTGACAATCATTGTATAGTGTTCATGTAGAGGGTATACGACAAGTTTTCTTAGCATATCCCCCAGAGTAGGTATGTGCCAGTGTTCGCAGGAAACAAAATAAACAAGCAGGGAAGCAACAGCTCTCACAAAAGCTTTGATCCGATAGTTCAATCAGAAGCTTATCCGCTTCATGTCGGCGGAAAATTCTGAAAGGAAAACATGAAACGGGGAAAGACGGAAACCCCGTTTTCAAGAGTTGTCGAAAAGACGCTTTTTTTTTTAAGCGTTCGCGTCTGCTCGCGTGCTTTCGTCGCAGAAGCGTCCCGATGTGATAAACAGTTTTTTTTATCTGTTAGCCCGTAAATAAAGTGCGTTAAGTGTGTGTGTTAGTGTGTGTGTGTGCGTGTGAATGCGTCTGTGTGTGTGTGTGTTTGCGTGTGTGTGTGTGTGTGTGTGTGTGTGTGCGTGTGTGTGTGTGTGCGTGTGTGTGTGTGTGTGTGTGTGTGTGCGTGTCTGTGTGTGCGCGTCCGTGTGCGTGTGTGTGTGCGTGTGAGGGTTTGCGTGCGTGTGAGGGTTTGTGTGCGTGTGTGATTTTCAAAGGACGCAACCAATTTAGTCCACGAGACCATTATTTCAAGGGAAGCGTAGGTGACAATAATTGTTATTTTTGAGCTGTATACACCTCTTCACAGGAAGGAAAAAAACACCGCCATGATGGGCTGTGCGCGGGAGTACAAAGGCTAAGGGCGCAGCGTTGTCAGTGCATTTTCGAGGGGACGCGCCAATTTTCACAGCCCAAGGAGGGCTATGGCGGCGCCCAGGGAGGCGTTTATGAAAAGGTGAATACTATGAAGTAAAATGAAATGAGTTAAAGTGAGCGCGAAAAATTCCGTCAACGATATTCAAACAATACTTTCAAAAAGGTTGTCGATTCGTAGCCCACCTAGTAGACTCGTCAAATCAGCCGCTGCCTCGACCATTCTTGACATGACAAAAAAAATCATCTGGTCGACAAGATGCATGGCTTCAGTGACATTGACTGCTAAATGAACTCCCGTCGCTTTAAGTCACCATTTTGCCCCGAACATATGCCTTGGTTTGCAACGATGAATTTTTTACTGATAATTAGTCCATGTTCGAAGTGCTGCTCGCGTAACTAACACTACACTTCTCCCACTTAACCATTACTCTAACGAACAGCCCACCTATTGAAATCAATGCAACGCTCGTAAATACGGCCTCCTTTTGATGACAGCTGGATGAAGGCATCATTCATCGAGCAGGAGGCTCGTCAGTAAAAGCAGCATGCAGATGACTCTGGTTGCCAGTTCGATACAAGGCGTTTTGTCGATCTTCATCCAAGGTTGGGCATCTTGGCTCCGGTACATGCTCCGAATGGCAGCATACTCGAGTAAGCGCACTTTTGCATGTCCATTCGTATGAGGTCTGGCTCTTTAGTGAAGTAATAAGAATATCTGGGGTTTAACGTCCCAATGTATATGTCTGCAAATGTGTTTTTGATCTCATCTATTTCACATAGTGCGATAATGATGTTTTTTTCTTTAATATTTTGTATTTTAATTGTTCCGTTCTTTTTCACATTGAAGCGCTTATTTGTCTGATTATAATTTGCCGATTGTTCGTCTTTGTGTAAAAGGTTGTTTTTCCATCTGCGTCCAAGTTGTGCACCAGACTTCATTTCGGAGCAAAAGCCTTCGTCAGGTTTTGCAGCCTTTTGCTTTTGCTTCGTATTTACTCTATGCGCAGGAAAAAGAAGTAAACCTCAAAGCCTTAATAACCACGATATGATCATGAGAGACGCCGTTGTGGAGGGTTCCGGAAATTTTGGACAAACATTTCCTGCACTAGCAGTCAAGCTCTGTGGCCAGTAGGGTTTTTACCTGTCCGGTTTTAGCTCGGCTGGTTATTTTATACAGTGGGACGGTTTCCGGTTCACACATCACCGTCATGGGCCAAGTTTTTTTTTAGAGCAGTAAATGAAGGTTAATTCTAATCATGGGTATTTTTATGCGAGCATTTAGACTACAGTATGGGTCAGATTAGGTCTGTTTATACATTAGGTTTGTTTGGCTGAAAGAAAGCCGTGTTATATTAAATGGCACTGCATGTTAAAGACTTCACATGGCGTCCATTGTGCACCAGCAATTTGATCTCCTTGTAGCTCATCCACCCCCCACCCACCCCTGAGAAAAGGTGGCTACTCTAGTGACCACTGATCCATCATGGAGGAATTGGTGGTAAAGTGAACCCACCACGGTGGTCTAGCAGCAGGTGCGTAGCCAGATATATCTTAGAGGGGGGGGGGGAGCACTTTTTTATTTTGGGTAGGGCACTGACTAAAATGCTCATTTTTTCGCTATCTAGGCATGGCGCAACAAATTGGGAAATGGGGGGTGGGGCACGGTCCTGGTGTGCCACTTTCTGGCTACGCCCATGCCTAGTAGTGCAAATGGAACTCGGCTGCTGACCCAAAGGTCCCGGATTCCATTCCTGGGCTCGGCGTTCACATTTCGATGAAGTTGAAATGCCGGAGGCCCGTGTACGACGGTTAAGGTGACCGTCAAAAAAAAACCCCGGGAGCTCGAAACTTCCCGAGCCCTTCCGCAATGGCAGCCGACATAACCACACCATTGTTTTGGAACGTAACACCCCAACTGTTACGCAGTTATATCGGCGCTAAAACGACTACGATGCTCAGCTACTGACTCAAAGGTCGCGCGTTTGATCCCCGCCACGGCGGTTGGAATTATTGGCGGTTGGAATTGATTGATTGATTGATTGATTGATTGATTGATTGAAATGTGGGGTTCAACGTCACAAAACGACCATATGATTATGAAAGACGCCGTAGTGGAGGGCTCCGAAAATTCCGACCTCCTGGGGTTCTTTAACGTGCACCCAAATCTGAGCAAACGGGCCTACAACATTTCCGCCTCCATCGGAAATGCAGCCGCCGCAGCCGGGATTCGAACCCACGACCTGCGGGTCAGCAGCCGAGTACCTTAGCCACTAGACCACCGCGGCGGGGCCAGCGGTTGGAAACACCAAATGGTTGGACTTATCGGAGCTTTCCACTGTGGCGAAACTGTACAGTGTGCCCCACACAACTCGAGCCAAGAATTTTGAAAACGAAAGGCACTTTCAGTGGCGAATAGAACCGAACGCATACTACTCGCACTAGCCTGTAGGTGCTCTGGCTATTTTTTTTTCTTTCTCCCCGTACTGAATAATTATAATTCCTAATTACCTATTTTTTTTAAATTATGGGCTGGAACCAAAAGTATGAAGACTGGGATGTAGAGCGCTTTCAGAATACACCGACTAAACTGTTTCCTGTACGGTATGTTTCGCGCTGTTTTTTTTTTTCCACGTTGTAAAGAAAGCCCGCGAAACGTGAAAAGAAGCCGTGTGAAAGAGCGCGAGCGCACTGCTATAAAGTGCTGCTATAGGCTTTCTTTACAACGCGGAAAAAATAACGGCGCTAGACGTATCGTACAGGAGACAATTTAGTCGGTGGTTTCTGAAAGTGCTCTACATCTCAGTGTTCACATTTTAAGTTTCAAGGCCATGATAAAAAGTAATTAGAAATTATTATTTAACTAGTATGGAGAGAAGTCAAAAATTGCCTGAGTATGTACAGGCTAGTGCGAGTACTACGCGTTTGGTTCGATTCGCCACTGAAGTGTCTTTCATTTTCAAAATTCTTGGTTCAAGTTATGTGGGACACCCTGTATATACTAATACCCGGAGGGGCGCGAGCTAAAGCTGATGATTTCAACTCCACCTCGTGATCATCGTTTCTTTTTATTGTTACAGACATGAAACACAAACTGCAGCTCAAGGCCTTCTTGCTAACATGGTTTGTGCTCCATGCGGCGCAAGCGGGGTCAATCAACGACATTATATATCGCCATTACCATCACCCCATGATCTGTGACAAACGTAAGTATCACGTCCCTATTATGTGCTCACTGATATACAATTTGCGAGACTGAATTACAGGGTATACGCTTGAATACGGCAATACCAAAATTTTCGGCAACAAGTTAGTACTAGCTGTACTTTCCCGCTAAAAGGGTGAAGGAGTGAACAAGCTAAAGGCCCAGCTACAAGCACGTGACCTTCGAGAAACGGCGACATGATTTGCTATCGCAAAGGCCCAACCGTCACTCGTCGCGTCGCGCGCATCTCAAAAACCAAAAGAAAAAAATTTGCCCCGTACCTGCATGTTAATCTGCAAATGTCGTCCAAAGACGATAGTCTTGCGTGTGGAGAGAGTGAGCAAAACATTTATTTAATGCTCTGCGCCGAGAAAACGGGTGAATGGTATTCTGGAGGCACTGCGTTAGAGGGCCTCGAGCATGCAGCAGAAGAGAACGAGCGAATCAAGTCACCTCACACGTGAGACATGAGCGCTATCTGGCAGTTTTCTTGAGAAAACGAAAGCGCGTGACTCTGAGACGGGCGTGCGCGCCCGTCTCAGAAGTGATAAGGTGTAGAACGCAAGGCAACGGGTAGGTGGCACCACCGTGTCGTCTTAGCAAAGCGTTCGAAAGCACTCACCTTTTCGTGCAAGCGTTGCATCGGTAGCGCAGCGTGATAGGCGCTATGGTCCTTAGAATAATTATGTATACCTTTTCTAGTAAAAGACGCCCCTACAGAATATATACGTATTGTTATGGTGCCTAAGATATGTGCAATAATTACTTTTCTAATCCACAATTCGCACAAGTATGTACGCTGAATCTTGAGCAACATATGTTGGGCGCTGCGGACGAGGGTCGGCCTGTTTGGGGCATCGGCTAGGGCCGTTCAGAGTGCCCAATACCGTTAAGGGTGGACAAACAGACAAATGTACAGACAAACAGACAGACCGTAATTTTTGCGTCGAAGGTCCCCAAAAAAAGATGATCGTCTTTAACAAAAGCTTGTCGCACATAAGCGAGCGTGTATATTTGCGGCAACATGGCTGCACGCCTGTATACTCGCTTCGGTTGCCGATTTGCTCTCGCTGCTTCTTATCAGCGCGTGCTTCAAGGACTTCAAAGGTACAGACTGCTTTTTTAATGACGATAATCCTTTCTTGGGGACCTTCGACGGAAAAAAAAATTTTACAGCCATATTTCACGTGGTGAGTTAGGCATCGGCAGTGTTTTGTCGTATATCTTGTTGTCGATGGTTTGTTTTGATGTTTCAGTGGCAGCTTGCGGGACTGGTGGTAACTTTGCTGCAACGTCCAATTGTCATGCAAAGCGCGTCACAACCGTCGCAGCCTGCGCTTTTGGGCACCCTGTAGCATTTAAACAAAATATAGCGAAAAAAAAAAGTTGCGAGACGCTTTTATGACTTCCTTGTGCCACGCTGGAGAGTAATAAAGATGGCATTTTGTCATCGACCTGCTTCGAAAATTCGCGAATTATGGACATGCCCGTGATTGTTTTTTCAGTCTATAGCAACGATCGCACTTTGGCGCCACCTTGTGGTCGCTGCCGTCACGAAGCGAATGCCGTATATATTGAGAACGCGACAGAGCTCGTCTGTCGCTGTCACTCGTCGCCATCGCTCGAAAATCGCGTGCATGCGGTTGGGCCTCAATTTTCGAATTGACTGTGCTCCACCATACAGATGTCCGTTGTGCAGGAGACTGCTCTGAATAAGTGTGAAGCACGATAGATACCGATATTTTATTTCGGCACTGCGTCATAATGATGAATGAACGTTATTTTGGTCCAGAAAAGAAGCAGGGGAACCCGTGCATAGTGACACATAAGAGAGAAGGATGGAGTACAAGAAAGGCATTGAGGTTAACTAGACTGCATCCAGTTTGTTATGCTACAAGTAAATGAAAAAAAAAAAAAAACACGGCATATCCACAAAGTCAATGATGCTGAAGTGGAAGGAATGATGAAGCAGTGGGATCAGTGTTACCCTAAATACCCCGTGGCCTTGACCACACACGCAAGTAAAGGTGTTACAAAGCAGTGTACAGTTACAAACAAGGTTTATCGGTGATAATTTGAGTGTTATGTTGAGTTGTGAGATTCGTTTTAACTTCAAAATTACTGCTTTGTGATACGGAACCTAGCCTGCACGAAGTTGGAAAGACGACATCTGGGCGCGTTCCCCTGGTAGTTGTTGGTTGTTCACAATCACACGAAATGCATCGTAAAGAATATCGAGACGTCGCATACTGCACAAGTCAGTCGTTGTCCGTGAGCATCATCATCATCACGGCTATGGCGCACGCCCCCGCCACCAACGGACAAGCTACGCGTAAAGGAGCTTCGTCGCAAAAAATAACTTTTCTTCCTTCGTACCCCCTGACATCGACACTAATCTGACGTCAAGCTATATCTGTAGCGTCAATTTTAGTCATTTCACACGGCAGTATGGCTAGTTGTGGTGACGAAGTAGTAAAAAAAAATATGGCAGCCCGTGCGTCGAAGCCTGGCGGAGCAACGCTTAGAAGCGACGGAAGCGTCACATTTTGCACGAACACGCAAACAATATTCGCAATGTTGATAGACTGTCGCGCCACCTAGCGGAATTCAGGAGTATGATCTCAAGGATAATCAGTAGGCAGGCACATTTGGTTAAGTATAACTGAAGTGTTTGTTAGCTGAAAAATTGCAGTTTTTCGATATGGTATTATCACTCATTTCCTGTTTATTCATTCTTATTTTATTATTGTTATTTTATTTACTTTTAAAAGATAACTTGAGATTTCTTGTTTTTTGTACATTTTTGTAATAAAATAACGATTCTTGCATATTTCTCATACATAGGCTACTACACGTTTTCTTGCCTGATCTCCCCCCCCCCTCCAAGTTGTGTGCGTGCCAGAGTTTACAAGCAACATATATACAAAGAAAGCAGCCCAGCTACGCACATCTTTCAAACTTCGCTTTACTAGTGCAAGCTGCCTAATTTTTTTTTTCATTCTGCACTTATGTGATATCGTCCATCCTTAGGTGTTTTTTTCTCGAGGTTGTCCAACTTGTTTTGCAATTACCTCTTTCTTGTTCCACGGTCCCCGTTTCTACTGTTTTCTGGTCCGAGTGCTGTGCGTCCAAGCGGCGCTGGTGCCTCATCTCCAATTCTCTCTTTTGTAGATCTGTGTGAGCATCAAAATTGCATATAAGATTTGTAATCTTGTTATACCATAACACTTTACTTCGACAACATTTTATAGGACCACTCAATTCTCGGCCAATCCCCCATAGTGGGCACGAGCCACAAGAGAAGTACAATTGTCTAACCCCCAACGCTGGCGTTGTGCTATCCCTTCGCTGGAACGGGCTTACGAATTAGCGCATTGGCGGCGCTGACGTTCACAGGCAGGCGCATGCCGCTGCAAACACGCAGCACCTGCTCGGCTTGCGAGCACGAAACGTGACGTCACTGCGATGAAGAGAGGGTAGCCCCTTAAACTGCTTCGCAGGTATAACAGATTTCCGGGCCAGTAACCCTTTAACGTCGGTGCCCTGAAGGTCAAGCAGTTATTCGCATCTCGCATGGAATTATCGATTGCCTGAAATGCTCATGGTCCAAAGCTGATAAACTTTCACGGTGCTCTAATTTGGAATTCCGTACGTACTGACGTGAAAGAGGCGAATAATTTTTTATGGCAACGAAGTGCTTCATGTGCAGTTGTTAAGTGCTACAATTTCATAAGTGATTATTTTTTCGGCTGTTATTCCCTGCTTCGGTCTTATTTTTTGTATATTTGTATCCAAATGATTTTACTTGGTCGCTGTCGTTGCCGCTAGCGTAATTGTGTACTTGGTCGCTGTCGTTGCCACTAGCGTAATTATGTAGGCAAGTCACACTATTATTCCTGCTCCTTGCAAGCGAAGCTACGAGCAAAACACGCGTCCGCAGAGTTATTAATGACCATAGCTTTTATTGCGATATTTTAACGCAAAAGTATTGGTCTGTATTTCTGTCTGTCGGTCACACGATTCAGCCACTCGGCTAAATCGGAGCACTTGCTGAACAGCCAGCCATCTTGAATTTGTCGACGCATTCGTATGTAATTGTGCGCACTGTTGATGCAAAAAGAAATTATTACGCATACCTGAGGTTCAAGACCAGTACGTAAGGATTAGGTGGTGTGTTCCTTTATTAGAAAACACGTAGATATGTAATTTTAAAGGCACCAGTGTTCCTTAGGCTGCGCTGAAAAATGCGACGCTATGCATGACGAAAATGCAAAGATGCGCATCAAAAAGTTCTCTGGCGATGACATGGTGCTGCCACCTGGCAGTGGTCCTGGGCTCTACACAAGCTCATGTTTCCTGACACCACCACCTAGATGGCGTTCATTTCTTATGTCGTGTCATATCTCACGTGGATAAGACCAGACTTATGTAGTACTGGCCAGCAGATGTCGTCTTTCGACTAATGCCGTCTTTGCACGACATTTGCCGCAAAGCACGCAGATACGCGACCTAATTCGATTGTTAAGTAGATTTCGAACTTACACATATGTATCTAATGACTTCTGAACTTCTTGACCGAAGACCATCGTCCTTTATTTCAGTTCAAGCTGGACATCAGGCAATGCCTAGAGGTAATGAGTGGAATAGAAAGTGACTACTTCAAGAACGAGGTATGGTACCACAATCCTGCCTTGCTCGTTTACTACCCCTGTCTACTCACTTTGACATATGAAACATGTTGCTTTTGCAGTACCTTAACGAAGGGAATCACGATCAACTCATGGGTTGCGTCATGCGCGAGCTTTCGGAGAGGCATACCATCAGACTTTGCGAAGGCGACAACTCGGCAAGTATATATCTCCACGAGAAAGCAAACATTGTCCCTGAACAATCCCCGAACTAGTCAAGCAGAAAGCATGGACGTTTCGGGACGAGTACGACATCACCAGTCATAACTGACCAAGCCACTGAGATGGTTTGGGAACCTCGCGCGTCTCTTGATCACACAGTGTGATCGAAAAACCAGCGAGAATCACGGAATGTCTCTGTGGTTTCACTTTGATATGGTCAGTGATGATCGAGGAATTTCAGCATTACTTGTTTATAGTTGTGTGCTGCTTGTAATTTTACCCATGAACGTTTCATTGTGGTGCTGCCTGTACGGGCGATCGTTTGTAATAACTCTTTGTGGATGTGTAAATTTTGGATGAGCCTGTTCATGCTAAACTTCCCATGCAGGTACGCCCCTCCTGCTCTGGGCCGGTAACTTAGGTCCGAACTATGATCCAATAAATAAATAAATAGTTAAAAATTACATCTTCTTCCACAAAAGGGAACGGTTCGGGAGCACCAGGGGGGGAGGGGGGAGTGAGCAAGCGTAGACTAGCAGACACTGCCTCCGTCCACGTTGCTAGGCGAGAGGGGCAGAACGTAGGAGAGGGAGAGGGCGCGCGTGCGCACTCGCTTTATATTCTCACTTGAAGGAGAGTAGACTAGAGGAGGAAAGCAGAGCACGCGCTTCGAGAGCAGAAGGGAGAACGCAGGAGACGCGCAAACAGGTGGTAGCAGAGAGAGTAACGCGCAGCTGTTGGAGAGAGGGAAGGAGGAGGGCTGCGCATGCGTAGTGTTAGTGCGGACGCCGACACCGCGGGACATAGACGCGAGCAAGAGATGCTCCGCATCTAAAACATGTAATTGACTCAAAACGCCTTAGTGTTTTCACCTTGACTCGGTCACTGATGATCGAGGAACCCGTAGGGGTGCCCGCGACGCTTCCGTGTTTTAGCCTTCACTTGGTCAGCGATAATCAACTAGCCCGTACGGGTCTCGAAACTTCTCTGTTTCCACCCATAGAGCTCGGTCAGTGACCGCATCTTCCTCCTAATCAGTGTTACCTAACCAGGCATCTCCATTTATCGCTTTCCGCGCGTCACCAAGCCAATAAGCAGTGGAATAAACTGCTTTGTGGCAGCTTGTTGTTTTGCTTAGCGATGTCCAGGCCGCGTAGGGAATCACACTAAACGAAGGGAGCACTGTTTGTTTTTCTTTTTTATTTCACATTGGAGCAACATTCGGCATTTCCTCCTCAAAGGAGGATGTACGCAAGACCGCCCCCATGAACGCGCACTTCAGAGTGACGTAATGATCAGGATGGCCGGTAACTGTGTTCTGGGCGGTAACTCATCAAGTCAAGCTGAAAACACACAGACGTTTTAAGACGTGTGCGGCTACACTGTGCTTAGGACCTATTAACGCGCTTTCTGCACAAAACCGCACCCAGCATGGCGGGACACCTGTCGCGCCCAAGCGGCGGGCGAAAGAGACGCTCTTTCGAAGAACTCTGGCGCTTGTGTCTGTGGGTAATGCAACGGGACGCTGCTTCAGCGAGCATGGGAACGATGGGTAGTACAAATATTTGTCTAATTTCCGTACTTTCGGCTCCGGTTGGCTTCGCGTGGCTTCAAGTTGCTTTGTCACGAAACAAAAAAAATCGGCAAATGTTCAGCAGTTACACTTCAATACCTTAACCTTCTAGGATTACCATTTCAAACTTTGTCACGTAGATCAAGAGGTATCCTTCTTTCGTACAACACAAAAGCACAACACAGCAATGAACAAAGCCACAAGTGCGATTCAAGGCCCATATGTACGAAGACTTGGCAAATCGGTGTACTAACCATCATTCCCATGATCGCTGAACGATCGTAGCACCCGTGTGCCCTCTAGTTTCTCAGGAAACTGTACGCTTTCGCCCTGTGCTTGCGTTCGGCAGGTGTCCCACGGCGTGCGGTGTGGCTGTACAGATGGAGCGAGGACGGACCCTTAGGTTTTATGGGCGGAGCCTTCTTGTACTTGTGTTCGACTATAGTTACGAAAGCCCCTTAACAATCATCCCCGCATAATATTTGACTGCACATAAATGTATATAGCAATGCTTGATGTGCAGAGCATTTAGTGTCGATCACACGCCGAAATACCAGAGAAAATCGCTCGCTCCCTAACCCCTTCGCAATGAACTGCGGTTACAAAAAAAGTGTAAAATAATTTGTCGATGCATGACCGTTTGAGTAATTGCACATCACGGTGCAATTATCTTTTATTATTGAAATAGTTATGAAAATGTGGGAGTTATACCGCTGCGTTTCTCACATTAACGTCCCGCACTTGAAGTCACCTACGTGTTGCCGTTGTTCTGCATAGAATACATAGGCGCACTTGTTCTAGAAAGGACATAAGCGTTTACGATACCTCTACTTCGATAGTTCTATTCTTTCTTTGACTTTTGCGCTAATGCACAAGATAAACCGCCTAGAACCTCCATATTGCTTTGTGACATCTACTGAACTCTTTACATCGGATCCCTAATTTTTTGCTTTTGTTTGCAGTTGAAAATGCTGACGGGTTGTATGCAGTCATCCCTAAAGGATCATGTGGTAAGGGATGAAAAAAAAAGGCCCGGACAGACAGACAGACAGACAGACAGACAGACAGACAGACAGACAGATAGATAGATAGATAGATAGATAGATAGATAGATAGATAGATAGATAGATAGATAGATAGACAGATAGACAGACAGACAGACAGACAGACAGACAGACAGACAGACAGACAGACAGACAGACAGACAGACAGATAGATAGATAGATAGATAGATAGATAGATAGATAGATAGATAGATAGATAGATAGATAGATAGATAGATAGATAGATAGATAGATAGATAGACAGACAGACAGACAGACAGACAAGACTAGACAGACAGACAGACAGACAGACAGACAGACAGACAGACAGACAGACAGACAGACAGACAGATAGATAGATAGATAGATAGATAGATAGATAGATAGATAGATAGATAGATAGATAGATAGATAGATAGATAGATAGATAGATAGATAGATAGATAGATAGATAGATAGTGTTCCCTTAATGCGTGAGCCCTCATTTTTCATTACAGATCATTCTATTCCGCTGGAGAGTGGCTGCTTTCGTGAAAAAAATGGAGGTGAGAAAATGTGCAAAGGAAATTTTTTGGTCGGGGGAGGGGAGCTGCGGGTTTCAACTAACACTTAGTTTGTATGTTTCTATGAGCGCGTCTACGCAACACGCCATATTGCGGAATTTTCGAGTGGATGGTTGGATACCCCACTCCTCTTGTATACGCCAAATGAACTGAGAGCTAGAGAGAAAAGAAGAATAAAATAAAAACAGGGAGGTCCCTTTGGTAAGATGGCAGCAATATGTATGTATGTATGTATGTATGTATGTATGTATGTATGTATGTATGTATGTATGTATGTGTGTGTGTGTGTGTATGTATGTATGTATGTATGTATGTATGTATGTATGTATGTATGTATGTATGTATGTATGTATGTATGTATGTATGTATGTATGTATGTATGTATGTATGCATGCAATCCACCCGATATACTGACGCTTATGCTTAGCCAATCGTAATGCTTTGAATAGCAACTACGAACGTCGAACTTACATCATGAGTACAGTTTACATCAGCCGACGAAGAGCACTTCAAGCGAAAAACGAGCAGGCACGACTGTCTTCCGCAGATGAGGGACAGGCGCGGCGTGGTTTTGTGGGCAGAGTTAATTTTTTTTTTTTGGTTGTAACCGTCTGCAATAGCCGCATCTATTTCATCTCATAAATCATGTGTGGTGCAACCAGAGGTTGTTTGCTTCCGTGGCATTGACTTGGTTCAGATTGACAGTGACTTGTTTCAAATTTACAAACTGCACTCTCAAACCTCTAATGCCACATGTTTAACTATCATAAGTTCATTATTATGGGAGAAAATCAAGGTTGAAGTTCTATTTTTAAATTTCGCTTCTCAATGTCTGTGCGCGACGTCGAAAATTTCAAAACATATTTTTTTCGTATGTATTTTCGCCACAATTGCTCGATTAAATTTTCTGAAACTTGTATGATAAGTCTATGGCACCCACAATTGACAACGCGTATACTTCATTTTTATATAAAAAAAAAGCTACGCAAGGCAGAGCAGACGCCTTCAAAATCTTCGACGTCATTGTGTTTGGTGCGATAATCTCACGCTGGCGTCATCACCGACATTTTGCATCCACGAGTTTTCTATCTTACAAACCGTCGTGTCGCGGTAATACAAAAAAAAAAATCTTTTCGCTCTTTAGCGTCCCTTCAGGTTGATATCCTAACATATATTTGCCCCATTCGTCTGTCTTCAGCGCTTCTTTCGTGTTGGCAAGTTACGGCGTAACGTTCGCCTTGAGGTACCGTACCAGGTTAACGCTTTTTCGGTGCATGGTCTTGCCACCAGGTCTCTGAAGCGAGTAATGCGGAAGGAAGCACACTTGGGCGAGGTTGATGAGTCGTGTTGTCAAGAACAAAAATGTTACCTTGCGTGCTGGAAGGATGCTTACATTCTTTAGAAGAAACGCCTACTTCCAATTTGTACAAGGCTGTCGTCAATGCGTGCGTGCCCCGAGTTTTGACGATATCAACATTCTTTATAAAAGCAAGAGTTCACATCTCCGAGAAATATTATAAACGTGTAATGTTGACAATTTGGGAGCAGGAGGCATCAGCCAAGCTTCCACCTCTCTTCATAGCATTAAGCTAATGTACCTTGAATACTCGCAATATGAAACCGCATGTTCATGTAACTGTTGTATACGATTACTTTAGTGCACCGGACGTCTGTGCAGGACCAGTTGTAAACAATTTGCCCATATGTATGCGTGTTACTGTTCCCAACGAACGTTCGGTTGATGATCAGCGCTGGTCTTGCATTTTTTTTTTCTCTTCGTTTCACCGTCGTTTAAGATTTCAAGTGGTTCTTGACAAGATTCCCAAGCAATGCGACTGACCTTTCCCCTTTGGTTTTAGATTTGCCTCGACAAATATGAAGGCAGCGCCGACGACAGCGAGGAAGATGATTCGGCACCGCATGGAAACATACTTCATCCCGAAAGGCTCGAAGAGAAAGCGTCCAGTAACGAAACTTCGGTCGAATGAAATGTCTACTGCATGACAGCGCCAAAACAGAGCGCCACTTTAGGAACAACGTGGATCTAACAGTTGACTACATCGAACCATCGACACAAGACGAGTTACGCACTTGTGGCCTCCGAACATGGACCCTACTTTCATTGTCAAAGTATCTAAATATTGGGCGTTTCAATAAAGATCTTCCTCTAGCTCCCTGACCTTACTTTCCTACTCGGGACAGCATCTTATACACAGTGGATGCTTTTATAGACACCGTCAATATCCGCCATGTTGTCCAATCACGTCATTGGAGAACTCTGATTGACCAACGGTCTCTTGCGATTGGCTGGCGATTCTGCACTTACGAAATTCTACACTGCGGCGGATTTTGGCGATGTCAAGCATAACAGCTCCCAATCGAGGCTGACAACTCAAAAGCACTAAACTAGACCATCTGGGCCACCTTTCTCGAGAAACGGAAAGCGTCTGAGCTACGTCAGCGCTACTTGACCCCCCTTGGCATCGACAGCAGAAAGCTGAAGGCCTGTCCAAACGCACCCGTAGCAGCACGTCAGCGCGGGGCGTTTTGACGTGGCGCCCTGCCCTTTCTCAATGGAGAGAGAGGGCACGTGGCTACGCAAGCAGCGCGCCCACTCTCTCCATAGGGAGAGGGGATGAGGGGACGCGTCAGAAAGGCCCACGTCGGCGCACTGCGACGCGTGCGTGCGTGTGGACAGGCCTTAAGATTGTCGGGAACACGTGAAAACTTATACTCAGCTCGACCTAAGCGCGTAACGAACCCCGGCGATGTCTTCCCTCTAGCTGGCGACCAACTCGGAGAGTTTTTAAGAGTGAATACACTTTATAAGCGACCCCAAATCATCCACCGCCGTCGGCGGCGTCCGCAGTCTTCTCTCTATCTTGAAAAGAGAGAGGACTTGGCGGGCCGCAGCGTGACGCTCTACCGAATAAGCCATGGACGCGACGCTGATATCGGTGTCAGTAACGCGCCTTATACCCCCTCCCCCTTCGCTCGCTCCTCCGCTCTCCTCGCTCGCTGCAGCTGCGCGTGCACCCCTCTCTCTCGCGCGCCCGCCTTCTCTCTCAGTCTCCCGTCGAGAGTGGGTCGTGAGGGGGAGTAAAGTTAAAATCCGTTGGCATTCGCCAGTGAGTTAACGTAAACTCCCCCGTGTGATCAAATTGCGAATCCCAGGAACCATTACACCATAAAGGTACTGTAGTGTGATTAATAAATATAATAGTGCGAATTAATAAATACCCCCATAGCATCACCCCGTGTATTCGCACTTAACCATTGACACGTGGGGTTTAACGTCCCAAAACCACCATTTGATTATGAGAGACGCCGTAGTGGAGGGCTCCAGAAATTTTGACCACCTTAGGTTCTTTAACATGCAACCAAATCTGAGTACACGGGCCTACAACATTTCCGCCTCCATCGGAAATGCAGCCGCCACAGCCGGGATTCGCACTTAACCATGTTCACCCTCGGGGAAATGCTTGGGAGTTTTTTTTATCCTTCAGCCCGATCGTCATCTTCGCGCCCTTAGTTTACAGTGAGTTTATTGACAGCATAGAGCCTCACTGCCCTCATTTGCGATGAGAGACAACGCACGTTATCCCACATGCTCTGGCAATGCACGGCGCTGAGCGATGGCGAGCCTCTCACCACAGAGGACGCCTGGAAAACTGCAATCACCAGCTCGGACCGGGAGGTCCGAATCCGGGCTGTCCAGAGAACCCGGAGTTTGGGAGAGAGGCATGCCCTTCCTGTCCCAACGTGGGTGCGGCTAACAGCCAACCAGCCCCCTTGAAGGGCGTTTGCTCCTCAGGACTATTTGTGAATAAAGTTCGTTGACTGACTGACTGATTGACTGACTGCTCCACAAGATACCCTGCATCATACTAGTCTCGCGACGTTGCTTTCGCCAAGCTATTTTGTGAGAAACGTGATAATTAAAAAAAATTGCTTCAGTTCGACGAATTTAATGCTGATGGTGCAGCGAAGCTCCGTTCACAAAATGATAACAACGCAAAGACTGTTTATAAAATTTTTTTAAACCATATGCACGCTTCAAGTACGCTCTGTAGACGGCGCTGTGCACAGATGTTTCGCAGCTGCATTTCGACTAGGACGAAAGTGAACCTCGACGATATCGTTGGACGTCGTGGGGGCCTATAAAGCTTCGCCCCTAAAATCGCACTTAAAAAGGGACCGACAACTGCCTAGAACATGAAATGAGATGACTGCACATAGAAAGATTGCCCCTGAACCAAACCTAGTTTTCTTGTGAGAAGTGGAGTTCTATTTACAATTCTTCATTGAAATTTCACCTGATGATCGAAAATTTCTTCATTTCACCAGGTGGCACCACAATAACCTACCGCCTAAGTTTCTAACTTAAACACAAGTTTCTACCACCTGGTGGTAGAAACTTAGGTTTCTACCACCAGGTAGCGCCACAATAACCTGTGGCGCCACCTGGTTGTAGAAAACTAAGTTTTCCGAGCTGCCCTGTTGCGTGATCGTAAACTAATGTACGCGGTCAACAATTTTCCCGATAGTACTGAAACGGTGTTTGCTTCTTTAGTGTAAAAGATATTATTCCACAAAAATGTACGTAAAGGCCTGCGTTTGAAGTGCGCATTGAAGTGGCGCTGCCTTCGCATGACGTAATCATCCCATGCTCGTCAGCGCGTTTTGAATAACTTTTCTGTGCGCTCTCGAAACCGTGGACGCACTTTCCGGGTGGCTAAGATTTCTGAGCGACGTGGTTTGTCTATTTGCAATTCGTCTCACCCCCGTATTCTAGAACGCCTCTTCACTCAACGGTTCACCTTCACTTGAGAAAGCCGATGGCAGCGCCGTCTCTAGGCATGGCAAGTCACTGCATATCAGCGATCATCTGCTGCGATTCTTGAGTAGCGCAGGGTCATTTTGAGCCGAACTGTGGCACAGTGCTCAACTCTGTCAAGTGAATGGTGGAAGTTGAGTCGAGGAGCGTTTGTCACAAAGGGGTCAGAAATGACGTGTACTGCTAGTCGGCACAGCCGCGCATATGCTCAGCGACGTTTTCGGTGACTTGGCTTGGCTCGTGTGTTTAAGTATACTAGCATTATACGCTCGAAGTGGAGAGCCGTTTCAAGCAGATTTTAGAACATCTGAGCTAGATCTGCATACCACATTCTCGGCGTCACAAGTTACCTCACCCCCTTTTGCACGAAGAGCCCCAACAGATTCTTTCCGTGCTCACACTTGGCAAATAACGAAGAAACCAGTCGTTACGTAAGTCACCAGTCAGATTGAGCTGTGATTATTATACTCGGTTACAACATAAAAATTATGCTAATGTGTTTCAAACGATACGCATATTTCACATAACGAGCGCTCAAAAACGGGCGCGCCGCCAAATTGTCGCGACGAAACGCCGGAGTGGCGCCGCGAGGTCAAAAGAAAAAGAAAAAAAGAAGAAAACAAGCTCCCCGGGCACGCTTCCTCTCCCCTCGGAAGTGTAGATTCGCCGACGAACCTCCTCACCCCGCATCGGCGGCCGAGCAAGCACTCGAAATTTCTAGATGGAAAGGGGCGTGGTGTGCCGGGTTGAGTCATCCGTCACGGACGGCCCTCGTATCGTCTCGACCTTTCCCCCAGCCTTCGCTGCGCATCGCGCCGACGAAATGATGAGAACTTTCTGGAATCTCGCGCGGAAGGTATTTAATCGAGCAGCCGAGACGAGAGATCAGGAGAAGACGGAAGTTAGCGCCAGAGCGCGTAGGGGATTCCGCCGTGTAGTTGGCGAAGGTTTTGTCCGTAGAGACAAAGCAGGAGAAGAAGATGATTTCCACCTGAGGGGTGACGACTCGAGCTACAGGCAAGAGTGTGTGTTTACCGCTATCGAGCGAAGACGCGTGGCAACAGCTGCGTGTGTGAAGCCGACGTGTTTCCGGCGAAGAAGTTGAAGCTTGGAAAGTGGCCAATTGAAGACGCGAGGTTTCCTGGAAGAGAAACTTCGGGGGCAGCAGAACGACAACAACGCTGGACTTTGAGTGAGTGATTCTCGGAAGAGTATCATCCAGACTTTTGTTCCAAGAACTTTGGACTGAATAGGTTTTCTATCTCTTTAGTCTTTAAGTGTCTTGGTTGTTCAATGCATGCGACTGCATTGGAGTGTGTATTGTTGTCTGTGCCCGTTGTTTCGAGTGTGGCTGATTGTACTGTGTAGTACGTTGTTTGATTGGTGACATATTGTACTCAACTATTGTGGAGTGTGCATACGTGTGTATTGTTTTCGATCTGCCATTATTGAGAATATAATTTTGTTTGTTTATCAACTCTCGGCTCTGACTTGTTCTTTGGGCCACAGCCGGCGTCCGCTGGCGCGCCAAAAAGGACCACTTCTAAATTGTCCACGCTTTCGTGGTGCGGTTCGGGGGCCGATATTTCTGCCCTTGGAATTAGCCCGGCGATCGCCTCCCGAATTAACGGGACCCGTGACAGCATATTAAACGTTTAAGGTTGGTCGTTGCTATACCAAGAACATTACGATTGGCGGAGCAGAGATATCAGAATCGCTGATGAACCTCACCCTGACATTACACCGACGTGGATCTGTATGGGAAAGCCTGCTATCTGATACGTTGGATAACTTCTTGACGTCACAAAATGAGTTCTACTTCTTGAAACAACTATATTGTTTTTCCATAGTAGAGCACGTCATACTTTAATTGTTCGAACAGTTGTTCTCAACACTTTTTGCTACACACACAGCATTTACGTGAATTGTTTGTGGGGTGAAAATTGAAGGCTGTGCACGGCGCTGACATGTTCTTGCTACGGCTTAAGCAAGTATGCTTAAGCTCCATCGTGAGATAAGTTATTTTGCTTCTTCGTGCACTTTTTTTCTTGCACTTTTCAGTACGTTACGCTGTAGTTGAGCTCAACTGCGCAATACTTTGCCCTCACTACTTTGAGTTCATCTTTAAGTAATAACTGCTCCAAGGGTTACTACGTAACGCTCAACTTCAACAATGGTGCTTTAGCAACACCAGGCAAAGCCACGAACATCGTAACCCTCCGGCAATATTTTCGACTTATAACTGTGGCTGATAGTACGAAAAATACGGTATTTTCTGGTTGTTTAACGTCTACGCAGAGAGGGAAGCCAATAAGAAAAGATTAAGACAGGGGTG